AGATTCTTTACTCTGGTTAAGTAATTTTTCGTATAATAATCACGTGATTGTAAGTAAAAATAACAAATGGTAGCAGTTTACATGCCATGCTTATTCTTCTGGAAGTTATAAATTTATGATTTATTCTGACCATTTTGATTGTCATTTGAAATAAAAAATTTTTGTGAATTACATGCAACAAGGATATTCCTAATGCTTTACATTTAGGGTAAACTAGYAACAGTCAAAACTGTGGTCTTGTTTCATGAATCACAGATATTGAGTGTGTTCAAAGAAAAATTAATGTAAAAATGTTTTTCAAATTATAGTTATATTACCTTGGGAATTTGACAAGCACAATTACACAGATATTTCTGAAATTTTGGCAAGCATTTATAATAAATCTAGTTGGAAGAAGAACCTTTCTACATAGAATGAATTCTTGCTAAAAGCAAGGATTTGAGATATTTATTCAATAGTGGAAATACCCTTGAAATGCCAATTCAAAGTCATAATTCTTAAAACAAGGAATGTAAATCTTATTTTTAATGGTGGTGTTCTTAAACTGAGAAACTTTCATTGGAGAGTATAAAATTCTTAAAAGCAGAAATCTTGATCCTTACTTTTCAAGGAATTGACTCTCAAATAAAGGAAACAAATCCTTGTTTTAAGAATCTACTGACTTACAATAAGAATTCCGAAAAACATAAACTTTAGAGTGGTGTGAACATCCTTGTACTTGTTTTCATTCTCGTGCTAATAATTATCTCAGAAGTGCGAAACAGGCTTCAAGCGCGGTACTAAGTTGCAACACAAGCACAGGCATAAACATAACAAGCTAATGTGCAGGTGGGCACAGGTGCAACATAAACATGAGCACAAGCGCTCAGTCGATGTTATGTTACATAGGGACATGGTTGGTGTAAGCAGTATAGTGCTTGCTGATTGCCTGAAAGTCTTTCGCATCTTTCGTTAATCCTTACGCTTATGCCAACTAAGTCTTAACTAGACAGTATAAGCATAAAAAGAAGGAAAAATGTTGATAATCTTGTTCATATATGCTTATCCTTATGTCCATGCGTTCCATCCAGTGCATAAGCTTTAACGTGCCTATCCCTATGCTTGCTTCGCAAGTAAATACTGAGCTCAATATTGGAACAAGAGTTTTATGATAAACAAACAGCACCCTTTTGAACTTTCATTCCTCAAACCTTTGCAGTAAAATCTGGAACAGTGATTGTCTTGCACTAAATCCTAATCAGGCCACATTTTCTGTCTTTGAGGCCTAATTTAGTTTCACATCATATTCCTCATAATGCTCATTTACCAGCCTAACGATTCATACCGTAGTATGCAAATCAAACACCCATTTCTATTGACGACACATTACATTGGCTTCTCCAATTCACGAGTTGGCTCACAGAGCCTTTGATTTTCTGTTTTTATTATTATGGTAAACTTTACTGGTAAAATAATTCAAGGTATATATCAACATCATTGCAGGCACACAGCCTAGGCAAAATATATGCATGTACATGTTATAAGTCTATATAAATTTTAACGGCATCAATCCAAGGAGTGCAGAGCAGACGTTTCAACTCCAGATTATTTGTAGTTAGAATGTAGCTAGAACACAGCTAGGTAAAAACCTAGGTGATGGAAATTACAAAATGTATTTTGTCATGATATGAAGCTAAACATGTAAAAAATACAAACAGCAAGAGAAATAAACTTCACACTGTTCATACATAGATTGTTGCTCGTTTTTTTTGCTATTCAGAGCATCGACACTGTTATGTACTGACACAACATTCTAGTTCAGTGGTTGAACTCAATCATAATTTATTACCCATGAATCCCTTGATTAATCACGCCATATACGTCATACACATCATTCCCCTACAGAAAAAAATTGAACTAACAGGTTTAACAACAAAGCCATATAACTGAAACAGAGCCAAACAACTAAATGTTCATAGTCACTTGATTTAAAGTCAAATTCAAATGAGAAATGTTTCTAAATCATTCTCATGCTAACTCAAACAATGTCATTTTGCAACATAGTCTTTCATCCATACTGGACTTTTTCTGTTCCTCACTGGTCTTGACTCTCGTAATTCGGGANCCACATTTTCTGTCTTTGAGGCCTAATTTAGTTTCACATCATATTCCTCATAATGCTCATTTACCAGCCTAACGATTCATACCGTAGTATGCAAATCAAACACCCATTTCTATTGACGACACATTACATTGGCTTCTCCAATTCACGAGTTGGCTCACAGAGCCTTTGATTTTCTGTTTTTATTATTATGGTAAACTTTACTGGTAAAATAATTCAAGGTATATATCAACATCATTGCAGGCACACAGCCTAGGCAAAATATATGCATGTACATGTTATAAGTCTATATAAATTTTAACGGCATCAATCCAAGGTAGTATGTGGACAATTGCGGTATTTCATAAAGAAAGTGTCAAGTTTGTACCTGAGACTTACATTGCTTTAGTCAGTCTTCAA